CAGCATGGAGTTGTGGTTTAAGAGAGAGAGTGAAAAAGACTTGTGGTTGCCTTAAAACTATGCAAAGCTTTAATAAAAAGGCCAAGCAACAGAGAGGAGGAACAGACAGAGTTCCTAAACTGTTATTTTTCAGAGTCATAGTCATTTTAACAATAAGCAAAAAGAGGCAACACAAGCCAAAAGCCTGGCTCAAACTAGGAACAATACTGAACCAAGGGAAATACCACAAGGACACGGGGAGAAGAGGGTGGCTGGAAAACTGCAGTTAAATAATCCTTCAGGCAGTGGTAAGTTATGTTTTTACGTGATAAATTTCTGGATTTTAAGAGTAAATCTCTCTACCTCACATCTAGCTGTCCCAGAGAGACTACAGGAAAAAGGATCTATGATTTCTCGGACACCGTGACAGCTCACGCTGCCTGCTAGGAGCAGGAGTGTGCAGGCCAGCAACCACGGCAGAGTGGCACATGGGCTTTCCCCCTTCCTTGATTTTTCCAGACGCTGCAGTAGAAGAGAGATTTGATGGAGGGACAACAAGAACAACTTACCACAGACCTAACATTTCTGGTGCTCATCTGTCTGTAACAACCGATCCAGACCTGCAGGAACACCGCGTCCCAGCACAGCCAAGATCCATCTGGACTGGCAGCGCATGGGAATTAGCTGAGGGCAAAGCTTTTCGGATTTAGACTGCTGCTTTCGCTTCTGGCTTTGGAGGAGGGAGACGGGAAAGAGCCCTTGCGGGTCCTGGTTGAGTTATCTGTACTGGGTCAATATTTAGGAGCGAATCTCCCCATGCTCACAAGCGGGCTGGCGTGCATTAGAGAGGCACACAACCCGACCGAGCCCCGGGGCTCCCACGGTGCGCTCTCTCGCAGACACTGAGCCACTAATGGCCTACAGAGACACACATGCACAAACCCAGAGCTGTGCTTCCACGCTGAACGGCTGAGCTGCTGAGCCGCAAGCTGTTACCGGCGAAAAAGAAATTCTGCAGCAAGAAAAAGAGAGAGAGCACTCAAAAAAGGCTGGAACGAGAAGGCGGCAGCTGAAAAAGCAGTAGCTGAGAGCCAGATGTTGATTGCTAGATATCAAGGGGCATCTTGTGGGTAACAAAGCGAGAATTTCGTTACAGTTATCTCCATCATAAGCTATAGATACTCAAGCAATTAATAGGACACACCATCAAACAAAAACATTACATTTCTGAAACTGACTTGCATTTACCATCTTTATGTTGTAGCTTATGTGACAAAAGCCATGATGGCACAGCACAGCTGTCCAAACCAGAACTGTAACAACCGCCCACCCTCCAGCTTTCAGGAACAACGCGGGCACAGGCTCGCGTCAGAAAGAAGTGCCTTCTGAGAAGGCAAAGCCCCCTCGGCTGAAACAAGCCTGGCAAGCTGGAACTTGGAATCCCTGCTTGCCCCAAGCTTTTAAATCCTGCAGGATCCTGCCCCTGTCTTTAAACCAGAACAAATCTGATAGCAGATGTTCTCTCCTCACTGCTATCCAGGTGCCTGCTGCAGATGACTTCTCACTAATTCCTACTCAAGCCTCTTTGTCTTTCACTTTTCTCCCTCTCTTCTCCCTTACAGCCTTGTTTTTCCATTTCCCTTTCACCTCACTTCCCAGCCTGCCAGCATTTTCTGCAACCAAAACGTGTCTCACCTCGTCTCACAGTATTTGCTAAGGTAACAATTCTCAGCCTTTCCATTTTGCAGAGCTGTCACTTTTAACGCCTTGGTGGGATATTTTGCTCTTTGCAACTCAGATCGTGCCTTTCTGTTTACAGAGTGTCCAAGCAGGCCTTTCGATTGCTACAAAAAGCCAGGAGTATAATAATTCTGTGCCTACTGAAATGTGATTATATTAATTTTATAAAAACCATCGCATTTTATTTACAACTTAGCTGCAGGATTTTGCAGGGCAGTGCAAAATTATTGATGGGGATCAGCCTTCCTTTCTCAAACATTAGAGCAGAGAGAGCACAAACGCCTTATGCCTGGCACTACCAGAGCTAACACAACATCCCAGATTTAAAAGCAGCACCAGCTTCGTGCTGCCATGAGTACCCCCAGGCCCCTAGGGTAGGTTACTTCTTAAGTGACAAAGCTTTCCCGATGGACAGTGGCCAAAGGCCATTCCGTCCACTTGACAGAAGCGTCAGTTTGGCTTTATATGGTTTCAAATTCTTGGTATTTCAAAAAACTGCAGGAAGCGGTAGCGGACTGGCTTTATCCTCAAGTTACCACCTAGGGATCAACCCCAGATGTCAGTTTTGATAGCACACAGTCTGTCAAAAATCTATAATTAATGTCAGTGCATATGCAGGAATACTTAGACAGTGCCTAGTCACCTTTTTTTTTTTTAGAAAAACTTTGTTAGTGAAAACCTCACACATTTTATTAATCAGAAATTCATTAAACTTTTGAGATTTTAATGATTATCTCACTACCTGCAACTCTCAGAAACCTTCAGGAAGAACGTGGGAAGGGAGCAGACAACAGACTTGCAAATCTCTCAAACATAGGAAGTCTGATTTTCCAGCTCCAACAAAAATGCCAAGATGAGCTCTTCTAGCAAGAGAGCAACAGTTCATTTTAAAGATAAAATAGGAAGTAGTTTCAAGAAAAGCATCAGATAGTTTATTCTGCAGAGCACAGGAAAGCAGGGATGTGTGTGTTGGGGGAAGACTGTTCAACAAATCTAAACTCAGACCAATGGATACCAAAAGTTACTGATTTTGCAACTGCAAAAAGGACAGCACTACAAATATTATATGGGAGCCCATTTCAGCCAACTGGAAGTTAGTAGACAGAAATAAGCCTCCCTAATCATGCTTCTTTATGAAATTACAGCTACCTACTGAGAGTATACATCAATAATGGTGTTTTTCCTAATATTTCAGCTTCACTAGTTACTCTTGTGAGGAACCATCTTCACACCAAATTTTAGTTCAAAATGTAAGACAGAATAAGGTGTAAGTTACTCAACAAACAAAATTTTAAGAGACTTTTAGTTTAGAACCTCCAGACTGCACAAGTGCTACGCAAATAGGAACTATTTTGTAGTGAAAATAATCTTTTCCTTTGCTGTTAAATCATTCCTGATATTTCAAAGTGTTCTCTGAGGGTATCTTAAGCATGGAAGAAATCTGACTTTGGGACTGAAAAATAAAATTTACTAAAGCAATTTCTACAGAAAGTCAGAAGCATGACATTGTCTTTTTTCCACTTGCAGAGCACAATACCTAAATAAACTCACCAGGCAGAAGGGCTAAACAGCAAGTCGGAGCATTTAAAACGTGTTGTGAGTTTGAAAGTAACATCATGAAAATAGTAAAATGTAAGCATTTAGTATGTAAATATCACAGTTCAGTGATTGCTGTTTGTAACACATTTGAAATTCAAGCTTAGAAGCAGCAGTGGTCGTGCAGAAGCAAAGCTGGGATTGCAGGGGTATGGACACCACGTTCAATGTAATTAAGAAGCAACCTATCAACACCAAGATGGTAATGCCATCCCATCTGCCAAACACCGCATTAGCTGGCACCGTGCCTCGCGCCGGCTGCTGCTTCTGTTACCCACCTGATCCTTGGAGACCTGCTCTGATGGAGCGTTTATGCCAAGCTCTTCCAGAGGATAGACAATCTGTCGTCTTGGTCGCACGGGAACCATGTAATGAAGGGCAGATGTCAGGGAATGGGCACAGGGATTCTGAAACTGAAAGACAGCGATCCATATTTCAGCAGAGAGAATGTCAGGACAGTGCATCGCAGATGTCTGTTGTACGGCTTCGCAAATACAAAATTCTTAGCTCTGCTGGCTAAATCTGAGAGAAAAATCGGCAAACAAACATACTCAGAGCAGAGGAATGAACTGCAGATAATTCCTGACACTAATGAAGATAATTATGAGAGTAATTACATTACTATCTCTGTGGGAATGACAGATAAACAAGTGGTTTGGTTTATGGGATTTTTCAGCACAAGTATTTTCCCCAGGAGGATATTTTTCTCCATAGTGATCATGAATCAGCTTGATTTGACCTCATTAAGCTGTGTTATCTGCTTACTGCTAACCTTTGCTTGTTTGGCAAAGAAGAGTTATGAATTTATATAGAAATTCTATACCAACTAAAATGCCAATTTCATCCAAGTGATAAATGTTAATAAACTGGCATAGACTTGAAGTGAACAAAACCCCTAATGCTAATGTGGATAGCACGGATCATTAAAAATAGCTGTATTCCACTTATTGCAGCACGACTGGCTCTGGCATAATTTATGACATGAAAGGGGGAAAAAATAAATAAGAGAATTACAGGAAACAGAGAATGAACGTTCATGCAAACTAAATTAACACTGAAGTACCGTTCCAACCACAAATACTGAAAAAAACTGATTTCACTATGTTGAGAACCGAGTAAAATATCACATTTACCACTGACTAGAAAGCAATGATAAGCTAAAGTAACTCAAAGGAACTCTGTAGCCTGGAAGCAGACCAAACTGGAATCACTAGTAAGGTTTAACTTTCCTCTTCCATCTGCTGCCATTAAACTGCATTTTTGCAAACGCCTCTTAAGAATCTGAGAACCTAATGCTAGGCAAGGACATTGGTTCCTCAAGAGAATACCTAATAAAATTCCACAAAAGTGCACCGGAAAAAACATCCTCTGAAAATGGACCTATGTCTAACCTGTCAGAATTCCTACGCAAAGAACAAGTGGCGATTTCCAAACCATCTAAGTCCTTAAGACAGAATTCATCTCAGCCACCATCTAAAAGTCAGGTGCTTCCTTCAGCTAGTCATGCAGACACCCCCCAGAGTCAGAGCCACGGGCACCTCCAGAGGGCAATTCCTTCTGTCCCAAGACAGGCAGTGATGACGGATGGACAAACTGCCCTCTGGATGGACTGCGCTCCCTCCGTCAGTGCTGGCAGGGGCAAGGTGATTAGGCTGGGCCAGAGAGGAGCTTTGGATGGCTACACATCAACGACTTGACATGTTTGAAAATTTTACCCTGTGTTCCCTTTTCTGCCATGAGACTGATGGCAAGACATACACATGAATATTTTTGAAAGAATCTTTTCTTTTGCTTCCACAAACTATGTTGTTCTCAGAAATGGATTTTCTCACAGAGCACTAGGTTCTCATGGTTCTCCTGTGGCACTTACAGAAACACAAGTCACATTTTCAATGACCACGAGGTGCCTAGGTCCCACTGACTTCTGACCAAACACAGTCACTTGTTTCAAGAGTACCCACATCACTTGAAGAGTTCTTATAAACCACCTGGATGTGTTTTTAATATTATGCCCTTGCATTTACTCATGCTTTGTTATGTCCAGTGACATCATTCCTTTTTTCTTCCCTGGCCTCCACTTCATCCTGAATCTAAAAAATATACTGGCACCTCTCAAAATTAATTATGCAGCTGAGTGGCGATATGTGAGACAGTACAACTTGATCAGGTTCTGTTATGAAACTACGACAGGAAATAGAAATCATTGTTAATCATAGAATCGTCTGGTTGGAAGAGACTTTCAAGATCATCGAGTCCAACCATTCACCCTGCACTGTCAGGGTCCCTAAACCATGTTGCTCAACACCAAATCCAAACGGGTTTTAAACACCTCCAGGGATGGGGACTCCACCATCTCCCTGGGCAGCCTGTTCCAATACAAAGATACGATATAATAAAATAATACAAAAATTAAATACAAAGATATGATAAATACAAAGATATTAAATACAAAGATATGATACATGCTTTACACCTTGTCATTTAAAACTTGGTTGCTAACTGATTTGCAAGTGACACAGCTATATCAGGTGTACTAGCATGTTAAAACCAAATAAATAAAACCTATTACATTGGTCTCCTCAGTTGATGAGTTGTGAGTTTGTTTCTTCACCTATCTGCATCCAACACCAGGGCAAGAAAGAATGTCAAACCCAAACTACAGCTTACAGTTCAGACACAGGGTCCTAGCTTAGGCAGGAGTGGGAATACTGGATGCTTGCTACTTCATCCTAGAACCAATCTATTGGGAAGAGCCGGGAAAGTGCAGAAACTTGACTGCCACTGCTATCGCACGTTCACGGAGGGGCTGGCACAACGCACAAGGCAACAGCAAGACACGAACCCACACGGGTAAGAAGCAGATACACCTCTCCCAGAAACAAACGAGGAGGTAGTGAACAAACTATTCCTCTCCTGTGCTGCTCCCAGGGCAACACGCTAACGTGTGTAACTCAAGACATGCAACTCCACTTCAAGAGCAGTTCCCCTGGGATTCTCTAAATTCAATTGAGAAACAGACACCTGCAAAGAGTGACGTGCCTCCGAAGGAGCCACCCCCTAGGAAGGGCTGCTCTGTCTTCACAGAGTAGGTAAAGAGCCAAGGCCAAGTACACTTCAAATTTCAGATCTTCCACACGCTTCCTGGAGATGCCAGGTAAGTCTGGACTCACGCGCACTACTGCGCACTACGGACTAACCCTACTATGCAACAGCTACGTCCCCGAGTGCAGATTATATCATGCAAGAAGAAAAGAAAGTACGATTTGCTGCAAGTTGCTAAGAAAGTTCCTGTTTAGAGTCATTTACAAAGTGAGAAAAGTGACAAAATTTAATAGAAGAAATCCCAGTAACTTTCTCCTTACCTTGCCTTCCACATACTGTGGATAAATAGGATAGTAAAGAGACGATTTATGGGCCAAGCGAAGAATTTCCTTTAGAAACTGTTTTGTATAGTGATGAAATATTGGATTTAAGACAAAGTGGTAAAGATGTCCGTGTTCCTCTTGCTGGTAGTGATCAAAATGAATAAAATCTTCAATGTTGTAATGTGAGCGAATATACTCAATATCCTGGAAAACAAGAATTTGGAAACCTGCAGTGATGAAACAGCAACATTTACAATATCTTAGCAAGTGCCAATGAGTTGCTTTCTGTCAGTCCAGGCACTAAATTTGAACACTGGAATTAAGTGCCTTTGAGAGTTGTTCTCAATTAAAGCACATTGACTGAACGTATTTTTCTTGAAAATATTTTCATTGTATCAAGATCTATTCTTGCAGCTCGCCCACCTTTACTTACAGGGAATGCATATTTGGCCCTTCGACAACGACCTCTGATACAGGTTAACAGACATTCATGGAGGGGAAAAAAAGGCAGTGAGCTCTGTTTTGCTGAGAGCAAGACAGAGAAGCCTAGGCTGTCCTCTCACACAGCTTAAACTGAAAAAGGGAAATTGTACGAGAAGAGCCGTGCAAGAAATGCTCTCCAACAAGTCTTCCCTGTTGGATTTTTGCACATTTATACACTCAAGAGAAATTGCTATATCCTCTTATCTCAATGCTCTTAATATAATTAAGTGCTATTTTGGAAAACTGGAGTGAGGCTCTATGTTAAAAACTGAGCATTAGAGCTGCTGAACAATCCGAAATCTGCCTTTTTTGTCACAGCAGAACGCCACAAAAGTAAACCTTAAAGAACGTTTACTTTTCAGGAATAACGTGCAACATTGTCTTTGTTCTGCACTCCGTTAGAGCACACGCTTTGTATGTGTTTTGAAGTTAACTGTGAGATTCATAATCACTCAGAACCTACTGTTGGAGGAAAGAAAGCAAATCTAGAAGGACAACTACTACTCTTTGCAGTACACGTGGCAAAATTGCTCATGGACTTTGGAAATTAGAGGGCAAAACAGGTGATTATGAACATACTTAGAGGCAGAACGACTTTGCGCTGACCAACCAAAAGAAGGGGTTGGAGGCATAAGTTCAGAAGGCATCAGCAGCTTCTTGCAAATAACAGCATTATTTGGTTTTTTTTCATCTGTGTGTCAATCATCATGTATGAGAATGGAAATATACAGTCTACACAGTCAGGAAAGAGAAAGTCAGTTTACAGAAGGAGTATCTGTTTCCTGTACTTTCTGTCAGGTCACACATAGTGGCAAGCACGAACCTCAGCCTTTGGTGCTGAGCGCTAAGCGATACAGCTTCCATACGACACAGAAACAGGATTTACCATTTCATCTCTAATGACAGAAACGCCAACTATTTGATCCAAAACTTCTGCTACGAAAGCCTGCACTGGGATCCCATCCTGCAAGGCAAAAGCAACATATGCAGGTTTCCTGTCTCATTAGAAATATTTCTTTTTAAACATAACTGAGTATTTCACTACACGATCACAGTTAAAATACTCCCCTCCCAGTATACATTCCACACACTACCCCAATTTAACCACTATTCCTTGACTCGAGGCACCATGTTTAAACAGTGTATATGGCTGGGCTCCTGACCACGCAGAACTTCACTGAACCAAAGTTTCAGTTAGGATCTAGCTGCTACAGGAATGCTATAAGCTCAACCACTAATTTAGTCCTGGGTTAAGTTCTGACTTTAGAAAAGAATATTAATTAAAACAGGTATTCTCC